GGCAGGACAGGGCCATGGCAGGCAGCCCTGACTCGACTCACCTCCTGCGTCGACTCCTTCTCCTTCTGAAACTGGTGCCTCTCCTGACTCAGCTTGTCCCCCATCTTCCTCTTTTTCTCCTGCTCCTCTGCGAGCTGCACCGTGAGGTCTTCGATCTCATCCAGCAGCTTCTGCTTCTCCTGCAACGACACGAAAGGGGACGGTCACGGGGCCCCGTCTTCACTCGGCGCCGCCGGGGCTCTTCCCGCTCGCTCAAGGGCACGGCGCACGCTGAGCACCGCGGGGAAGGCTCTTCTCGCTGACGCATCCGGATGCTCTCGCCTGCTGGGATCTCGTTTGCTGTCTGAAGGCTTCGGAGCCCGAGCGCTTTGGCAGCAGCGAGAAGAGCCGCACACCAAAATAGCACTGCTAGGAGAGAGGCAGGGAGAGATGACTCGAGAACAAACGCACGCAGGCAGATATCCGCGCTCGTGCGGCTTTCCGGGCAGCGTGGTGCTGGCGTGGGACACGGCTTGGGCAGGGCTGGGGCCAGCGCAGAGGCTACAGGTTTAGAAGAGACATTAAATCATAAAGCTCCTTAAGGTCTGAATTTCAGGACAGCCAGGAATCCAAGACCTTTGGACAACGCGAGAATGCTCATTCCCGGTTTCAGATATGGAAGAATTTAATTGAGGACTGACCCAAGAAGGAATATGACCAGTTCAGGCCAGGATGGAAAACACACAGCCCAGCTCTCCTGCTCTGTCCCCTTCTTATAGGGGAGGAAAAAGCCCTGACAACAGGTAAAGCTCGTCACGGCGATGACAACAGCCCCATGTAGGATGCTCCTCTGCACAGCAGCACCCTTCTGCCTATGACCAGGCTGAATTTGAAAACCAAATTTACAGGTTGCCCAGAGAGGTGGTGGATGCTCCATCCCTGGAGACGTTCAAGGCCCGGTTGGATGAGGCCCTGAGCAACCTGATCTAGTTGGAGATATCCCTGTTCCTTGCAGGGGGGTTGGACTAGATGGCCTTTGAAGGTCCCTTCCAGCCCTAACGATTCTATGATTCTATGGTTCTATGACCAGCTCACAGCTTCCAGCCTGGCTCTCCCCGTAAAGGTTTTGGCTTTGGCCACCACAAAGACACCAGCCGATGCTCGTGCCAGACAGCCTGTGCCACGAAGAGGTTGAGGAGCAGCTCCGAGGGGCAGCTCCAGCTGCTGGGTGCCCTGCTCCGTGGAAAAGAGCACCAAAAGCATCCCACACCAGCAGGACACACGATGCTGATGCTGAAATCCCGATTTCGGACAACGGCCAAGAGAGCAGCTCATCAGCAGAGCTTCTGTCCTCGGCAGGGAGGGTCAGCAACGGCACCTCTCGCTCCTCGTTAATCCCATTAACCGTGGAGAAGAGCAGCGCTGCTCTGCAGAGATTAAGGATCAACACCAAGGTTGTGTGGCTGAACACACCCAGGCAGGTGATTTATCCTCAGACCCTCAGTGGTTTTCCTACCCCCAGCCTCAACGCGCTGCGCTTACGAGGTCTCGGCAGACGAAGACCACTTACTTCATCGTGGTCATGCCAGGTAGCAATGAAGCTGCAGACTGCGGAGTGGATGAAACACCCGAGGGCCTTCGGCTGGGCAGAGAGGTTTGATTTCACTTACATTTTAACCTTACATCTGCCACAAAGCTTGAACAGAAACCAAACACAGCCTTTGCAGCAGATGTGACATCTGGAACCCACGTCCTCTCCAAAGATGAGGATCTTGTCCAGCCCATGGAGACTGCAGCAGCTCCACAAGCCTCCCAAGCAGCTGCACGGCCTCGAACCCCGAGCAGGGCACGAGGGGAGAGGATCTGGGAGACAATATGGTGCTTTGAAGACTCAACACGCAAATACCAGCGACAGCGCATCTGCCCGGGCAAGATACAGAGATGAAGCACACCCGCTCCTCTTCCTCCCCTTGCAGTGGGATTGTCCCGCTGCGGGCTGCAGCCGCAGGGATGGGGACACGCTTCCACAAGAGGGCACGAGTCCCCTCCTGAGCAGCCAGGACAGGGCTGTCATCGCTGCGTCCCAGAGATTTATTAAGGGTTTTGTTAATCCCAGCTTCCGAGCCAATCCCTGGGAACCTGCCCGGATAGCGGTGTGGGATAGCTCCGGTCCGAGGGACTGGAAAGCAGGAGCAGCTGATCTGCTCGTTCCATTCCACGGATCTCACGGAGGCCCTTCGTGTAAACGTGAATTTGAGCTCCGGCCGTGCGAGGCAGCAGGTGTGAACCCGGCAGCAGCTCCGAGCACACGCGGTCCTCACCTCCTCGAGTCTCTCGATGTTGGCTTTTAAACACGGGACGCAGGACCTCAGCTCGCTGTTCTCGTCATCCAGCTGCTGCAGCCTGTAACAGCACAGAGACGCGTAAGAAGCTCACCCAAACATCCCACGGGCAGGACACCTGGCTGAAACCTCACTAGGAACACTAAACCAGGACCTGCTGAAGGCAAGCCAGCAGGGATTTATCTTTTCCAAGCAAACCCTGAGACTTCCCACTATTTCTTCTCCAAGGGGAAAAAGAGGGGCATCCACATGACTTCTGGCGAGTCCGTTGGCCAGTGCCATGCCCTCCCCAAACAGGCCCGGTGCCATTCTTTAGGGCAAGGGCTTTATCAGTCCACGGGCCAGCCTCAGCGCTAGGCACCGAAAAGCAGGGACATGACCTGGGCAGAGTTCAGAGAGGGCTTCAGTGCCCTCCAGGCAGAGTAACACCCGTTTGTCACGATAACTGTCTGACTACGAGCCCGGTAAAAAACCCTCCTGGCTTCATCTTTTGTTTCTTGCAAGGGTAGAGCAATAGCAAAAATAGCAAAACACGTTCTGGAAAAGCAGCAAAAAAAAGCTGTTAAATAAATCAAACCTCTCCCCCACCACTTCTTCCTTCGGAAGCACCCTGTCCAGGACACTGCCTGTTGTCCGGGACAATTCTTCCTTCCCAGATATTTGCCTCTTTCCATGATGGTGGAAAACACATGTGGATCAAAGGTACTTCCACGGGCCATTCATGGGAAGAAGCACTGACAAACCACTTCTTCACTCACGGGCTGCGGGGCGGCCCAGGGCTGGAGAACATCCGCTGAATTTAAACCGCACCAGGGAAACGCCAACAAAAAGCGTGAGACTGGGCTGACGGAGGGGCTTGATTTTGGAATGAAGGTAGAAGAAGTAGCCAAAACTCAGGGTTTGTCATGACTTTAGTTGCACCTTTAAGCAAGTCAAACTCACTGTCTACTGCACTTTGTCTTCCCAAAGGCTGCGGCTGCAAAGCGGCAGCCCGTACGCATATTCCAGCGCGTACGGACGGGTCCAGGAGACCCGCCACCACCCAGCCCTGCCCCTGCCCCAGCCCCACCTGGCCTGCAGGTTCTCAATCTCAATGCTCTTCTCCCTCTCCATTTTGCTCAGCAGCTCCCTCTGCTTCTTGATCTCCTCCAGGAGTGTTTGGTCAGCTCTCAGCTCCTGCTCCTTCAGCTGTTCCTCGAGAGCATTCGCTCTGTGGAGAGAAGAGAGAGAGAGGATTAACTGCTCCTATCCCAAGGGAGGGATCAGACTCTCTTCCCAGCCTTTCTCCCACCCCACAGAATAACTGGGAGAAGGAGACTGTGAAGGAGACTGTGAAACAGAGTGAGCTGTCTGGGGAAGCCCGCACATCACCGTCCCAAGCAGCGGGTCAGGAGGCTTCGCTTCATCCCAGCGGGAACGCAACGCGGTCCATGAATTCCTCAAGGACACCACTGCCGGCCAACACGTCAAATAAAAAAAGCCAGGTGGTCCACGCTGGAATTGTCGCTGTCTAGTTTTTTTTTTTTTAAGTCTCCAGGCTGCATCAAAGCCCTTTTTAAGAGTGAGGCCAGCAAGGGGGTGAGGATGAACCCACTCTTCAACCAGCAACCAGTATGCTCGAGGCTTCTGGGCCAAGCTGCTAAAGCGGAAACGCTTCCCCTCGCTGCAAAGTTC